TAAGGGAGCCCTTAACCTTGAGAAAACTGTTCATAGACTTTAATAACTAGCAGCTAAGACTTGTTGCTTTTATTCATATACATAATTGAATAAAAGGAAATGAGGTTTCCTACTGACCAAGAGTAGCAAAAAAATTTCCTTAAAATACCATTGAAAAAAAGCACAGTTTTCAAATTTTATAAACCACTTAGCAATGTGGTGCAATGTGATGTCCTAGATTGAATTCTGGAACCGAAAAAGGTCATTAGTGGAAAAACTGATGAAATCCAAATAAGTCTGCTGTTTATTTAATAGTATTTTACCAGTATTAATTTCTTAGTTTTGACAAATGTGCATGGTTACGTAAGATGTTAACATTAGGGGGAAGCTGGTGAAGGGTACATAGGAACTTTCCTATCATTGCAACTTTTTCGTAAATCTAAGTATGTAGCTTGCATCTGAAGCAGCAAACAAATGTGCTACTCCATTTATAAATAATTATAAATTGTAATAAATTCTATGAAAAACAAAAAAAATAAAATCATTTGGAAATGAAAATATTTATTAAGAAAGTAAAACAACACATAGTCACACTTCACTAAACAATAACTCTGTGGGGCAGGGGCAGGGTCTGTGATGTTCACCGCAGTCTCCTGGTGCTCAGCACTGGGCCTAGCAGGGGTAATTAGTAGTCACTGAAGGAATAAATGAATGCACCATGCATACAGTGTGACTCATTCTGATCATTCTTATTATGCACCCAAATAAATTCCAGCAAGAGCCATGACCGTTTTTGTTCCATTCATTCGATAAACAAGTAATGGAATATTTGTTGCCAGCTTCCTGCATAACAGGTGTTGAGGTAACTGTCAGGGATGGGAAAGGACGTCTGCCCCCAGGGAGTTTCCCCACCATCTAGTGGGAAAGACACAGCCAAGTTAGCAAACCCACGTAGGTGTGAAATGGCTCCAACACAGGACAAGGAGCCCTGCATTAGGGGGCCGGGGCAGGCAATACAGAGTCCTCAGAAATGATTAGAGATTTCCCAGGAGGACAAAACAGAGAGGGCATTAAGATAATAGAACCGCATTCATTTGAAAATATTTGGTAATCCATCTTTTCCATCATTTTTAATCATTAAAAATACACTCTCCAAATTCTGTCTGCCCCAGCACACCAAATTTGCCTAGATTTTAATTCTGAATTTGTGATTCTTTGTGAAAGAAAGTAGACTTATGCAATATCTCCTATTTGGAAATCACTGAGCCAAGTGTTTTCACCTGCAATATTTAACACTTAAAAATCCTCTATAAGGGAGACAGTAATTATCTTCAATCTACAGATGAGAAAACCGAGCTCAGCTGGGTTAATTTACTGACGGTTACACAGCCACCAGGATGAGGGGCTAGTGAGTCGTCAGAGACTAACCACTGACCTCCAACAGCTGTTCTCCCTTTTTTATGAGTCATGGAAGTTTTAGTTGGGTGTATGGCTTTCAACGCAAGACTCTGTTCCCTGTCCTATCTGCAGTTTGGTGTGGCCATGTGGCTAAATATTTTTAGCCATTGCCTAAGTAAACAGAAGTGATGTTTGTAACTTTTGAGTTGTGTCCCTAAAGGGAAGGAGCATGTTCTTGCCTTTCCTCTTTCCTGCTGGCAGAGACGTAGACATAACAGTGATAACTGGAAAACCCATCTTGGACCTCAAAATGAAAGCTCCATGTTCAAAATGCAGAGCGAGGAAAGAGAAGGGGTCTGAGTCCCTTGTGGAATCATTAGTTCCACAGCCCAGAACCAGCCACTGGGACCCTTACAGGAGAGAAATGAACTTCTAGCTTGAATAAGCCATTGCTGTTTGGGATGTCCTGTATCCTAATTCATTCAGGAGCCATGATGGGGACTCCGTCGTGATTATTCCAAAGCTCTTGCCCATTCACTAGCAGACCCTTTTCGTAGTTCCTAGCAACTTTTATCTCTCCTATACTCACTGCCTCCCCAGATTTTTGCCAGTTTTCCCTCTAATCCCTTTACAACTAACTTGTCTTCCAAACTACAAATCTCCTAAACAACTTCCTGCATTCGGGAGCAACCTCCTAATCACCAAATCCAAGGGATTCTCCCAGTCTTTGTGCTGTCTAGCTCTTTACTGACCACCCTCTCCACCTGACTTTGCAGCCACACACTCCATTCTCCTTTGACCTCCCTTGACTCAGTCACTGGCACTCCTCCTTCCTCCCATACTCTTCTCTCTCTACTTCTCCTTGGAAATTTCAATCACTTCCCCTGGTTTAGGTGTCATCTTTGAATCTCTCATGGCACTGACTCCCTTGAGCTCAAAACTTACCTTTTCTCCTTCTTCAAGGCACGTCCACCTGGTATTCCACTCGCAGCGGAAATAAACTCATTGATGCCTCCATTTCGCAGCCTCTGTGCCTATGACCAGTTGCCCTGTCCTCTGCGTTACCTCCCAAATGCCTCTCCTGCTTCACCTCTCTTTTATTCCCATCGCCACTTCCCTGACCCAGGCCCATTACTATTATGCTTCTCATCTGGGGACATTATGATACTTCCTGGGTATCTCTATACCTCCTATAGTCAGCAGCCACATTAGTATTAAAAACAAACAAACAAACAAACAAAAAACACCCAGGAGTGCTCTGCTCCACTAGTTTTGATGAACTTCAGTCATCTACCTAATAAAGTTTCAGTTCCTATGCTGGCATAAAGTTTTCCTAACTGTATTTCTAACTTTACAAACTCTAGGATCGATGTAACACTTATACTTCCTCCAAACATGCTTGATATTTTCTTTTTTTTTTAATTTTGTTTTTATATCTATGGCTTTGCTGATGCCCTTCTCTCTATCAGGAATATTCTTCCCTCAAATCTCTATTTACTCAAATCCTAAGCACCACTCAAGGCACAACTCAAAGGTGTCTCTTCCATGAAGGCTTTCTCTGCTTCGCTTAGGCGCAACCTTGCCCTCTTGTAGAACTAATGGCAATTGTTATCATGCCTCGTGTGGCCACCTGGAAACTTGTGCCATTTGGATCCCCTGCTGGAGAAAGCACAGTGGCTGACGGTCCCTGCTGCTGCCTCTCTGGATCCACCACCCCTGCCTGCCAAGGCTACCTTTCCCTGCTGTGCCCAGGCAGTGACCAGGCAAGACAGGGGCACTAATGCTAGCCTGTTCCTATAAGACTTGGCACTTCCTTCAGGAGCAACTTTGGCTGGAGGACTCCCTCTTGTCCTGGCTGAAGCTTTCCTAGAACTGCACTGCATCTGAGAGGCTTCCCACCACATCCTCCTTCCTTTCCCTTCTTGTACGGGTGTTTGACCTGCATCACAATATGAAGCCGTCCCCTGCCTATTTCTGTGTTATCCCCTTTTATCCTTCATGCTATCTGCCCCAGTAAATCTCTTGCATGTCAAATGCTGTCTTGGTGCCTGCTTTTTAGAAGATCTAAACTGGCACATTGCTTTTACAGCATTTACCATGTTCTACCTTGGTTTATAAGTAATGGCTATAAATTCATGGGCACGGGGACTGGATGTTAGTCAATTTTATGGTTCCCAAATACCTAGTTCAGTGCTTTGCAAAATCTCAGTACCCAAAGCTGTTTAATGAATAATAATTATAATATGTTTATATATTTATGTAAAGTTTAAAAAGCACCTTTACATACTTTATCTTAGTTGAACATTTCAATAATCCTAAAAAATAGATTGGCCAAGACAACAAGAGAAGTCAACTTCAAGGGGAGATGAGATTCACTGAGCTTGTTTTAAAGTTGCTAAGAGGTCAGATTGTGTTCCCTGTTTGTGCTTAGAGCAGCCAGCATTCTGCCAGGCTACGTGATAACAACACTTAAACCTTACTATGTGGTGGGAACCACTCTAAGTAACTTCACATAGATTATCCCATGTAACCCACACAAAACCCCTGTAGGTAGATGGAATTATTTTCTCCTTTAATAGAAATGTAAATGTCCGAGGTCATACATTCCAGAGGTGCTAGAGCCAGGATTTGAACACTCATGCTCTTAATCTTTAGCTATCCTACAGCAAGTAACTGTTAGTAATTTGTTGAAGGAGTAACACATGTCAACAGCTAGAGGAGCCAAGATTTGAACCCAGGTTTTCTACAACCCCTTTGCCAACAAAGAAATCCTTTGTATTATACTATATCCCTGAGATGTTGGCATTCAAACTCAGTTTGAAGGAGGATACAACTGTTTCATCAGGTTGTCCAATGGAACTTTCTACAATTGCGGGAATGTTCTATATCCATACTGTCTTATGCAGTAGCTACTACCCCAATGGGGCCATTGAGCATTTGAAATGTGGCTAATGCAATTAAGAAACTGAAGTTTTCATTTTATTTCATTTGAATTAATTTGAATTTAAATAGCCCCATGATGTTAGTAGCTATTATATTGGTCAGCAAAGTCCTAGTCTCTTCCCTGGCCATTTCACCTGAACCTGGTCCCATTTCTCTGGCATTTAGTTGAGTTTTCTTTAAAATTTTAAGCTAACGAATTCATTGTGCAGTTCACTGAAAATGGGCTAAAAGAAATATCCATTAACTCACAATACAAAAATTCAACATGTTCAACCCAGTCACCAACCCACGATGCTGCCATTTGGAGGAACAAATTTATAATTTATAATCCTAATCTAAAAGGATATTTCTTCTGGTCTGAGGATAGTTCCAGGCTCCTGTTATGATCTAACCTTTTACAATTGACTTTATCGTCCCTGCTCTGATACTCTGAAAGGAGTAAGAGACAGCAGGACCAGAGGAAAATATAGACATTTTTTCTTTGAGGTGCAAAATTTTAATTCCAAGGGATAATGGCTATTAAAGGTGTGAGGATTCAATTAGACTCCACAAAACTCTTCACATCAAACAAGCAAACAAAACAAAGAATTTGAAGAAGGAGGAGGAGGAAGAGGAGGAGGAGGAAGAGCAAGAGTAAGAATAGTGTTCCCAAGTAAAAAAAAAATAATTTGCATCTTTACCTGTTCAGCAGGATTTTTGGGTTTTTCTCCCTGCATTGCCAGCTCTGGATTTACAAAACCATTTTTAACTTTCTTGATAGAACCATACTCATACATTCCATCTGACAATAGAAGGTCCTGGGGGGCTTGCTGTGGGGGAATGTCCTTAAGTGGGGCTTCGGGGATACTGCACAGATGAATAGTAAAACACAAAGTGAGCATCAAGGAAGAGAAGAAGAACATGACCTGGAATTCTGTGCCCAGCACTCTTCCCAGTTCCAGATGGGCCCAGTCTATGGCACCCAAAGTGTAACCCAGGGCACCTCCAAAACCTGGAAAGCAAGAAAGAGCTGTATTAGCATATCTAGCAAACTTTCTTTCTTTCCCATCATGCAAAGACCCTCGCCTTCAGTGGGAAAACTCCCTGAGGACTGCATAGGCAACTCGGATATGGTTGGAGAGGCAATACAGCAAGAGGCTGAGACACCTGCAGCCAGGGAGTGTAAGTTCAAGTCCTGGCTCTAGCATTTACTTGCCGTGACCTTGGGCTTCCTCATCTATAACATGGGGGTAATGAGAAAAGTGTAACCTACTAGTCGGTTCATGATTTGAAAACAGGAAGTGTTCAGAATCAATATTTACTAAGCACTTGCTAAGTGCCAGACACATGGCAAGTGCTTCGTAAATATTGCCACTATCAGAGATACTGTGGCCTTTCCAAACTGTACTCTCTGTACTGCTTTTGAACTTAAATTCCAAAACCAATTTCTGAAAGCAATAAAATTAAATTATTTGTATCGTTACGTATGTATCATTAAGCTTCCTAGGGTGGTGCAAGCATGCAAAGATCAAACAGCCTCAAAAGCTTTTCTGCTTTCAGAAGCTCAAGGTGCTTGTTCCCAGTTGATAGCTACAGAAATAACAAGAGCAAAAATTTAAACATGAATTTTTAAAAATCCTATTATCATCCCACAGGACTCCAACCTGAAGTCTTTTTAGCACCTGTTTTATCTGCTCATGCTTAAACGCAGTGTTGCCGGAGGAACACTGAGGAAAGATTCTCAAAATCGATGCCACACTGATGATCTAATATTTGAAATCCCATTATTAGTTATTCATTCTTTTGAGTTTCTGTTTTAAAATACATGTTGCTAGTATGGGCAAGACATTACACTACTCAGCACTAAAGTAGTAATTGTTCCTCAGATGTTCCTTCTGGTATAGAAATCAGTGACTTTTGATGAAGAGGGGCCCATCTCATGGGGGGCATACCAAAGGATGTCTGGGGAATTAGTGAACTGAATGCCAAACAAAAGCTTACGTAGGGCTGATACTCCTGTCAAAACCCTTTAAAAGTCAAACTCCCATCGTGCCTTACCCAACACAAATTATCTACCCGAACAGATCAGCTTTCATTTTTGTTTCTCTTGTGTGAGTGAAGTCTCCATTTTATTTCTCAGGTAAAGACAATGTCCTCCCAAACCGGGGAATCAAGAAAGAAAACAGAATTTAAGGACTTCCTATCTCAAATCCTAAACACTGTAAATTACATAAACCCCGACCCCAAGAACACAAACCTGAATACCAAGTTCAATGCATCCAAATTATTCAGAATCCTAGGAGAATGGATGATTTGGGTCACTTTACATTCTGGTTAGTTGCCATTTAACATAGAGACTATTTACAGATGACAAGTATCTAATCACTGGATTACAAAAACAAACAAAGCACCATTAACATGCCTGAGTGTCAAGGTGTTTTAAGGCAGAGTTATAAGAAATTGTGACCAATGGGGTGCAATACAGTAAGAGATATATTCTTGGAAGCAATATGGCCTATAATCCCGTTATGGAGGATGGGCATATACATAAAAAGATACATGGCAGATGATGGCGAAATGCCAGGATCTGAGAGGAAGGGGAGGTCCCCAAGGCAGCCATACTCCTATGGCTGATTCAGAAGGAAGTTCTGGAATTTATGATGCCTCTGGTTATTAATAGACAATGACTTTCTTTATTCAATTGTGGAGATGAAGGTGTCAGAAGTCATGTGTCAAGCTAAGCAATTAACCAATAAGAATGTATTAAACGTTTTCCCTCTCCCTTGTTATGACAACCAAAAATGTCTCCAGATATTGTCCCAGTTGGAGGGTGGAGCGGGGGTGTGGGTATAAAGTGGCCTCTAGTTGAGAACTCCTGAGCTAACTAGGGTTGAGCTAACTCAACCCTATGACAAACTTACACATTCCTTTTTTGAAATTATTTATAATTTGTAAACAGATCAATCATTGTCATATTGCCATTCAATTCTCCTGTCACTTACGCCTCAATCTTTGAATTTATTGTTCCACTGAGCACCTCTGGTTGGGGGAATGTAGAACAAAAGACCCCCTGCCCATTTGAAAGAAACAATATGTGAAATAAATCCTTTACTGTGCAATGGAATGGTAGTTTTATTTTATAGATAAAAATATATAATATAAATATGATGCTGGATTTATATTAGAGATTGATTTGAACAATTGAGCTCTACACTTGGAGGCTGTCCTAGTCCAGTTGTATGTCTACTGGTTTAGTTTAGTTCACTAAATATTTACTGAGCACTAAATATATGTGAAGGACTCTACTAGCTTCTGGGGATATAAACATAAATAAAACACGGTTCCCCATCCTCTACCTCAGAAGGTGGTTTCAAGTGGGAGAAGCAGATGAGTGGGAGAAGCCACTTTCAAAAACTGATAATAAAAGATAAGCCAGAACTGTGAGCTGGGTACTCGAAGGGTATTGGGGAGTTCCAAAGAGTCAATTATTGGTGCTTAGTTGATTGTCAAGATGGTCAAGATGATGTTGATTATTGATAATTATTATAGGATTCCTCTTAATTAATAATGAAAGTTAAAAGAGTTCAATATATCACTGAATCCCAAAATTTAGAGGTAGAAAGAGTTTTGATAAATTAGATAAGAAAGCTACAGGCGGCAGTGGTTCCGTGCTGGAAGACAGCATGGAAGGAAGAAGGAATGGGGAATCATGACCCATTTCTAATCCCACCTTCGTGCTGTCTAGTCACTGGGCACTTCTCTGACAAATGTGGGTGGTGATGCCTCCTTATGTGAGTTTAGTGAAGGTTAATACAACAATCCACGTCAAGCACCAGCAAATACAGTGGCAGAACCAAGCCCCAAACCAAGTGCCCTGCTGACTTCCTACTGAAACTCTAATTCTGAAGCCTCCCTCAGAAACAGGGGAAGACAGCTTGCCTGGACCGGCTGAAAGGACGTGGTCATTCCAGGACCAGTGATTAGCACCGGTGGCTCATTCTGAAGGTGAAGACCCAAGCTTACCCCAACCCTATTATGGCGTGTGGCAGGTATTGTGAAAGAACAATGTATCTCAAACTTGGAAAGGGTAAAAATTGCAACTGTCCAATCTTTAAAACAGCATTCTAGAGCGTGCTTCTTAAACTTCCAGGTGCACCCAAATCATGTGGGCCTCTTGTTAAAATGCAAGTTCTGATTCCAAAGCTGCAAGGCAGGGCCTGAGATTCTGCGTCCCTTTCAAGCCCTCTATGACCCCACACTGCTGGCCCAAATAGCACTCTTTGAGCAGCCAGGCGACAGAGCAGTTCCCACAAACCTGCTCCAAACTCATCTGACATTCTTGAGAAATGGGATTTCGTTGTGATAGGATATTTGACCAACAATCTATTAATAGAACCAATAGAGCACGATAATTTGAAGTCCTATAAAATTAAGGTAGTTTGCAGACATTAATGTTAATAAGATTCTATGATTTGCATTAAGTTTGTGTTGTCTCGTAGAGAAATTACTCGTAAAGTGTCACAGAGGAGTTAAAGCTTTATTGTCTTGTAGGTTAACCAGGTTTGTATTTAACCTAGTATTTTTTCTTTTGCCCATCATACCCATACACACACACACACACACACACACACACACATTTCCTGCAAGAACTTGAAGAAACTGTTTTTATGGCTTCTCCATTAATTAGTTAAGTAAAAACCTTGACACGTGCTGTAAAAGTAACTCAGAGCATTACCAACGTGCTCTTCCCTTAGGGAAGGCAAAAAACAGCAAAACTGCTTTGTTTGTCCCAAAGCTACGGTGGAATGTAGCTGCAAGTTACAACAGTACAACCGGACATGCCAGGAAGGTATAGTGGACCACTGGGGACATTATTCTAATAGAATATTAAGGCATTGGAAAGAGACATTTAAACTTTATCTATTTACACCTTCAGATACGATGACAGCCAGTAGAGGGCTGTACGAATTCACTGAGGACTTTCCTTTTGCTTCCTCTGCTTAAGCCAAGGATTTTATCTTCACAGATTGTCTCCCAAACAAAGCCCAGTCATCTTAGCTGCAACAAAGGTTGATAGTTTTACCATTTTACCACCTCCCACATCTACATCCAGCCTGCATTTATCTCTACTGCCAAGATCAGCCTCACGGGGGTCCCTGGAATCAATCACCAGGCTATTGAATAAGCCATAAGCCGGAGCATTCAAAGGACATCTGCTGCCACCTTAGATAACAAGCCTTTACAAAGAAGGACCCAGAAGTGATCCAGCAGGCTCCTTCCCCACAGAGCCAGGCTGTGTTGTCAAACTCAGACCAGAGCTAGCCTCGTGAGAATAAATGGCTTCAGCAGACAGATGTCACATTTTGCAACTAATGATACAACTTGAACAATGGCTAATCCTGGAAGACGTCCAAGGATATAGAAATACGTATAACTTTTTTTTTAGTCCACAATTGTAATAGGTAAAATGGGAAACTGGGGAACTGCCAGAACCAAGGAAACCAAAGAGTCTATCTAAGTCCGACTCTGCACCCACCGTGCACCTGTAATTGCCTCCCTGCCCGGCATGTGGCTTAGTGAGCTCAGCACCAATGGCGACACACTCGAGTGGAGAGAGCTAACCACGCTGCTGGCTACTCCACTCTGAAGGAGGCCGGGCTAAAGGTCCCGCACGTCCATGGGGTTCATCAGATGGCAATTCTGATTCTTTTCTCCATGTTGAGGCAATAGCATTGAAAGTGTCAGATTAGGTGCATGGTGCCTACCTACGCCCACCATAAACACACTGAATCCTGGAGAGTTAACATAGGTACCAGCTGCCGTGTATGTGTGTGACTGTGTGTGTGTGAGAGTGTGTGTGTGTGTGTGAGTGTGTGCATGTGAGAGTATGTGTATGTGTGAGAGTGTGTGTGAGTGTGTGTGTGAGAGTATGTGTGTGTGTGCATGTGAGAGTATGTGTGTGTGAGTGTGTGTGTGAGAGTATGTGTGTGTGCATGTGAGAGTATGTGTGTG